TCACAAAATTGACATTCCTGTAAGATTTTGTTTAGGCACTTTACCAAAAATAGCCAAGGGGTGGGTGGGTAGGTAGGTACGTATGTATGTATGTATGTATGTATGCATGTATGCATTTATTTATTTATTTATATTTTATATATACTGTATATATAGATTTTTTTTTTCCTATCACAAAATAGTCACCAAATATCGAAGCTTAAGAATCAAACCTTTCCAACGGTTCACAAAGATTGCAAAAAGTTTGATTCTAAAATATTGTGGTAAATTTTGTAATATGACACTTGACACCATCCACTAGAGGGAGGAGCCCACTGAAAGGATTTAAAGGATCAGTTCCAGTAACGCAATGTCTTGATTAACAGTTTAAAAGTATAAAAATTCTGAAAACAAAAAAATGAAATAAAATATATTAAAGGTAAATGCAAAAAACTAAAATGATTAAAAATGACAAAATCACATGATAAAATTACTATATATATATTACAGTTAAAACGAAAAATTAAAGTGAATTCAGAATATTAATAAATACTATAATGCGATATAAATAATACAAAACAACACTAATGTGTTTAACACAGAACTGTGGGTCCAACATTAGCAGACTCTTTTTAATAAATTAGCTTACAGTACATTTAAAAGCCAACATTAGTTATAATTAACCAAACTAACTTACTTTCTTAATACATGTTCCTGGAGTCATTCATTTGTTTGATTTGTCAGTGAATATCCATTTCACTTACAACATTTCACTTACAAATGTTGTTTCATGATGAACTCAACTACAGGGATTTGAACTAGTTCTTTCTGACTGTGCCGCCACTACTACTGTATATGTGGACAACAGATTGATAGAAAGGATAAAAAAAACATTTATTTTTAACCACAGTAATACTCCAGAATTGCAGGTTGAAGCAGATTATGATATGAAGAAGATATGATGTCTTGTGAAGGGCACTCAGAAGTACAGATAGTGAATTAAAACTTCAGTATCATCCATAGTTATAATTATTGCATGTTGTTTGCTAAGGTTTATGTATACAGACACAACAGATTTAAGGGTATTGTATACAAATACACTGTACAATCGCGCATGCTATAGTCTTCTTACAATCATAAAGCCAAGGGAGAATGAAAGATAAGCAAAAGATCTGTCAGTTTTGCCTCAAAATATGCTGACTTTATCAGTAAGCATCTGCAGCCTTGTTGCTATAGCGGCTCTGGGGCTCCGGCACACATTTGGTATTCCTACAGTGAGATGGACAGATTCCTATTAGCATTCCGCACCCCGGAGGACTCGGGCCGGGGAACGTGGGTGCCAGCTCAAAGACTGTGGGTGTGTGAGACGGGTCGAGGGCAGCCACGCAGAACGAACAATTCTTCCTCAATTGTCCAACACATAGTCATAATGAGAAAACATTGATTGTAAACAAAGGAGGCACGGTAATTGGAACTCCATGGGGTAAGTGTCAGGACTCGACCCAGTGGACAGCAATGTGGCGGTCGGGTAGAGATGGCTGGTTATTCAAAGTGAGATGCGTGAATGTACTGTTGAAGAGGAAGTAGTGTTACATGTGTATTCTTGCCCCTTTACAAATTGTCAACTTTGTTATTTATATATATATATATATATATATATATATAT